CAACGCAGGAGCAACTGATAGATAAATCATTTGTCTCTGTGCGAACCGGCTCCAGCAGAACGTGGCTATCAGATGTTAATTTCATCTCGCTTATACGTCAAAATACAAATTTGATAGCTTTTTTATGCCGTTTTATAATCAAAGATATTAAATTGGCCACCCGAGGCTGTGCACCACAGACGGTCATTATCATCGCAGTCTTGTTTTAGTGACACCCAGAGACACCGCTCCTCCAACCCCCCCCCCCCCCCCCCTTCCACCAGGTACGTAATTTCGTGTAGAATAGGAAGCAATCAGCGCACTATAAAGTGAAGCAAGATTCATCATTACAAGGCCACATTTAAGCTTCCGTAGGTCTTATAGCCTTTATACACAGCGTGTCCCAAAAGTTACATCATGCCATTAACATTCTACGCCAATAGGCCTACAGCCTAAGTAAGTAAAATAATATGTCACAGTCGTAATTGGACTCCCTCCTCTTCAGACGATATATGTGAGACCTGTCATCCTACGTACTTAATCAAGAACGTAACCTCTTTATTAAGAAGCACTAGTGGGAGCCGTGGGCAAATGCCCCTTATATAAAAATATCATTCAACTGGTTATCGGTCGAATGTGTGTAGGTTTCCTTTTTACCTCTACAGAAATTAATAAAATTCCACTTGTGACAATCGACTGATATTATTGAATAATGCATTTGAAATAATGTAGAGTACATCGGTCGTAGTCAAACTTAAGGCACCAGCCCTGCATTTGTCTGAAATGACTGAAGAAAAGCACGAAAGTCACTTTAATAGCTGTACTCCGGGCCAAATATTTTAACCTAAGAACATATCCAAATACAAGCGGGAATGCTAACCACTCGACCCCATGCTCTGTAGGGTAGTGCCTTAGAAAATACGATCAGTGTTTCTTTACCTATCCTTCCCGATTCAGTTTCGGGCTATATAACATCAATTATTAAATAGTGAAATGACTGAATAGCCACGGAAACAGACCTCAAAAGTTTGCATTATCTGCTGTATAATAAAATTTTAAAGTGTCTCCACTACAAAGCAAAAGTTCGTGTAAACGAACATTTATACCCTGTAATCTTAAGATGGGCTCATTTCCTTCGTCAGATTCTTTACAAGAAAACTGTTGCCGTCTCGCTTCTGGCTACACAAAAACGAAATTTGAATGTCTGGATAATGAGTACAGCAGAAGGAAGAGAAAGGACTAGGAGGCAAGAGAGAGAAATAAATAGAGAACGAAGAATGAGAGACTAAAGGGAACTAAAAACACAAGAAAATAGAAAATAAAGAGACATCACGAAACAAAAATTCAGAGCTGGAATGTGACTGATTACTACAAAGAAATTGTTTCACCTTGAGAAGCAATGCAGATCAGTGGATGTCATCACGAGGCCCGCAGGCCATCTGTGTACCTTGCCTAAAGTGCGGCCGGCGGCCGAGTGCTAGAACCAACGTCAGGCCTCCTACCAAATGGCATGGACGACTTTTCCGGAAAGAGGGAACAGCTGTAAGAAGCATTTCGCGTTCAAGCAACCGTTCACTGCAGACCTACAGATAATTTAAGCGTGTGGGGAACATGGGAGTAAAACTCCACGTATACTGGGACTAGACATAGGTTGACACTCAAATTCACGCTCCGGTCGCTTTAGCCCCAGGAAAATATTACGTGGGTAGGAACTTTGCTAGACCCCGGGGACGGTTCTGATGTAAACACAGAGAGCAAAATCTTTGTCCCTGCCTAGAATCGAACCCCGGACCGTTCGTCAATGATGTAGGCAGAAACATATTAACACGAAAGGCGATTTCGCCTATACGATGTCGAATTGCAACGTGGAGACGCGGTGCAGTGGCTACGGGCGCTATTAGAAGCTATTAGAGGCGATAAGCATCAGACATGAGCACAGTACGTGTGGCCGACCATGTGCCAAGCACAATAAAATATTCCAACAGGACAAATTAGCACCCCCCCCCCCCCC